TACTTTACCATAAATGGATAGAAGAATTAAAGTCAAATGATGTAGTTAAAATGGGAAAAGAAACGGAAAAGAAAGATTTTAAAAAAGGTTAAATAACTTGGTTGGGAATTCAGCAAATAAAATAACTTATAAGCATAAGCTGAAAAATAATAAATGCTCTTAAGAAATAATAGTTAAAAGTCCTGATGAGTTTCTAGAAGAGTTAACAAATAACATATATAAACTTACAAAACACCATTATGTCGAGCAAATCTCAGACTTTTTAAAGCAGCTAAAAGAAAACCTGAAAGCAAATGAAGTTTTGTGTGATCTTAAAAATATCTGTATTATACAAATGGATTTTGCTGGAAAGTTTTCATTTGTCATACAGGATGTAGTTCAGTCACCATATTTTTCTCAAAATCAGGCAACTCTTCATTTATTGTATATTTGAGATCTTTAAATGGAAACCTATCCCTAGAAATCAAATCTTATTGTGTTATATCTGACAATCTGCTTTACAATACTGAGGCAGTCTTCAGTTATGTTTCAAAAATCATACCAATTCTGAAAGAAGAATATCCAACAATTTAAGAATGAGGTTCTAACTGAATATTTTTAAACTTGTATTAATTAAAACCAGTGCAATGTCCAAAAAAAATTAAAATAATTTTAGTTAAAAAATGTTTTTGAAATGCAGTGAGATTGTGGAACTTAGACATTGTAATGTTTTTTTAACATCTTTGCTTCCAACAAGGCTGTAACCACTATTAGAGTTGGAAGTTACTGGAAAAGAAAAGATAAAGTTTATAGAGCAAGATAACAATTGACAGACGATTTAAAAGATTTCAAATTATATAAATCAGGAAAGTAAGAAGAAGGAAGCAAATTCCAAAAAAATGATGTTCAAGGAAAAAAAGTAGATGAATAAGAGTTTTTGGCGCACTTAGGATCAGTAACAGTTAAAAGGATGAGACTTAATTGAATGGCAAGTAATATGAGAATGAATTTTAGTAGATGGCACATAAGACACTAGCTGTTTAGAGCAGTACCCATTACAGTATTTATAGAAATGAGAAAGACAAGCAACATTACGATGATGTGATAATGGTTGGTTGCAAGAGCAGGTCCAACTATGTTTACAATGTGGCAACAGTATTCTATACAAGGACAGATTTGAGATTTATAGAGAGTAAGAATCCAGAGTAAGAAAGTGTTAAGCACATTAATGAGATGAAACCTTAGCAGATGCTAATTTTGCGATGGTTTCCAAGTATAATTAGAAGTAAGAGTTAACCCTAGAAGATGAAGGGTAGATGACTTATCAAGTACATTACCATTCATTAAAATAGGAAGATCTAAATTATTGCTGTAACGATTGGCTAAAAAAAATTAAGTTTTATCTGAATTAAAGCTCACAAGCCACTGTGAACCTTTTCAAGCTCAAATACCCCCTCCAAGCAATCAGAGAGTGTTGGCTACTTATCAAGACAAGAATAAATGGTAGTATTATCAGTGAACAATGCCACCTTAGATGTGAGAATATCGTTTATGTAAATTAAAAAGAGTGTAGGGCCAAGGATAGGACCTTGAGGAAGTTACAGGATTTGAGGAAGAGTGTTGTCCATCAAGGACAACTTTTATACTATGATTGGTAAAGAAGGATTCAATAATCTTAAAGATGTTACCTAATACACTGCAAGAAGGGTGCTTATGGAGAAGACCAGCATGCCAATCTTTATCAGAAAGCTTTAGAAGTGTCAAGAGAGATGGCCTTAACCTCTTCACCTCTATCTAATGTACAATAAAACCTATCCGTTATTAGTAGCAAATTGGCTGTAGAACGAGAAGATTGAAATCCATACTGATGATCAGAAAGTAAGTTATTAGATTCAAGATGAGAGGTTAAGTGTTTGTTAATTAAAGACTCAAAAACTTTGCTTATGATAGGAAGAAGACTAATGGGGCGTTAGTTAGACAATTCAGTTTGCTTTCCAGAATTTTTAAAATATAGGATAACAGATGCTTGGAAAAAATGACTCTGATAGGCACTTGTTAAATAGTTTTGAAAGTATAGAATACAGCTCCAGAAAACACTTCTGCAAGACTATAACAGGTATGTTGTCTGGACCAAAAGCTGTAGAAGAGTCTAAGCAGGATTTCACTTTAGATACACAAGCTGGTGTGATACGAATGTCAAGCAATCAATCAACCTGTTTGTCAACTATATCAGGTAGAATTCAACTAGTGGAATCAAGAGATGAGATGATAAAAAGTTCTTAGCAAACAATTCAGCTTTGTCTTCAGGTGAGGTGACAAAATCTGACCATACAAGAGAGGTGGAGCAACAAATTTGCCCTTATTATTAATACTGTTAAAGATTCTCCAGAAGTCATGAGAGCCTAATTTTTGAGATAAAATACAAGATTTTATGGCCTAAGATTAGTAGGCTTTAGCATTAGACAAAACCTTTTTACTGTGTTTTCTAGCAAATAGAAAACAAACGTCATTTTTCTTGAGAATTGTTTGAGTTGTTAAATCCAATAAGTTATGTAAGAAGCACATTTATTGGCAGAAAGATGAAAGATTTCTACCCAAGGACTGTTAGAAAGAAAATCACGGAAAAAGTCACAGTCAACTTTAAGGTAGTTGTAAGAGGCACAATGATAGGAGGATTCTGATGATGAAGAAGAATTAGATAATAGTTTTAGAGAGATCAGATCATGATCAGAAAACACCTAAGGGTGAATGTGGAGCAACTGAGCACTGACTAGAATCAGAAACAAGACATAAGTTGAGTAGAGAAAGTAAATGATTCAGGTTGTCTGAAAAGCAAGTTAGAAAGTTGACTATTTGAGTTAGAGATTGAGAAAGGCAAAAGTTGTGGGTCTTAATGCCTGCAAAGTCACTGACACTTGAGCCGAGCCATTTAGTGTGATGAGCATTAAAGTCACCAACAAAGACAATATTGGCTGATGGAAAAGAGAGAAGGCTCTTGGTCAGTTTGATCAGAAATAGCATCAAAAAAAGTGCAGTCTTGAGATGAAGGAGAGCGGTATAGAACAAAGAGAAAAACAATAGAGTGAAGTGGTGCTAAAGGAAAGCATATAAAAGAATAATTGGTGGATTCAAACTTAGTTTCCTGACAAAGGGGTGAATTCTTACGAATGTAAATGCCCAGGCCAAGCATATTAATATTGGAGTATTTATGAATTAAAGGAAGGTAACTATCAACACTAAGATCACAAGGTTAGATACCCAAACTTAAATTTGTCTCACAAAGAACAAGTAGGTCTGGTTAACTTTGCAAGAAGTAAAACTCAACAGAAGAAAAGTTACTTCGAAGACCACAAATATTAGTGAATGATAGATGTATCTTATTGGTTTTTGTGTTTTATAGTTATATTTTAGTCATTTTTAAATTTTTTAAAGAACATGACTCAAAGCATAGATAGAACCCAGTACACTATTCAATAGTCCAAGCAATTGTCTCATTACTATTAATAAACCCTACGCCATAACAAAGGGCTCCAAATGGCTTTGCACAATTTACAATGCACACCAAAAGTACTAACAGGGTCTCTATCCATGTGCAACATGGCACTGTTAGTACTTTGATGTTTTTCAGTTGTTGATAGAATCAGTCTCTCTGAGATTTTGATGGAATCAATCTGTTGATGAAATCAGTCTCTCTGAGAGCAACCGCAGAGTTTGGAAACCTAACTACCAGTCGACCTCAGAAATATAAAACTGAGTTTTAGAGCTGTACCCTGATTAGGAGATAATAGAATGAGTTGCCTAGTCATAAAAACAGAGACACAAGCAAAACCCATCCATTGAGTCAAGAAGATCCAGCATTCAACATCCTAAAGTGGAAACAATGTATTATAAGTACATCTGCACCAGCCTAATTGATGAAGAAGGGATGTGAGGCTGTTTAACAGATAGAATCTCTTTACCCCTTAAGTCTTTGTCTACATGGCCTTCTACAAAACAGTAGCCGGTTGCGTTTAACATTTGCCCAAAATGAGTATTTTTGTCTCTAACCTTTACTCAACGAAGAGCCCAAAGCCCTGACTTTTTTAAGCTTTGCCTAAAAAGGTGTATCTCACAAGGCAGCAGGACCTGGAGCAGGTTGTACTGGGTTACATGTTACCATTGGGTTCCTTCCAAAACATTCTTCATTCCTCTGCGAAACCTTCTTCACATATTGTTATAAGTCTCAGACAGGCAGTTTGTACAGTTTTCTCAAATGTGGAAGAACATTGATGGAGGAGTGAACACTGATAGCATTAGTTATATCTGATTTGTTGTGAAAATTGATTAAAGCAATAATGTGTTCTAGTTCATATGGCAATGGTATGACACAAAGTGTATCAAAATGCATTGAAGAGCTATAAGCATAATGGAACAGAAAAAAGTAGAAATTTTTTATTACAAGAAATTATACATATTGGGACACCTAAACAATATTTGGGGTATATATTACTATTCTTACATATTACATGTTACCACTTGAATTCAGATTTTTTCATAGTCTATCAGACTGCTAAGTAGCTTTTAATGTGAAGTAATATCACCTGTTTTCTGTCAGTGATTTTGATATATTTTGTGTTTTTTTTTAGTCAATGTTTTGATGTTGTAATTTTAAAATTAAGTAGCAGACTAGGTATTAATGATTCATCACTGATAACACTTTGAACATGAAAAGTTACTATATTTGTAAAATCAGTTATACGGAGTATGAAACACATATGTAATTTTTTTTTTTTTTTTTAATTAAATAGGATTGTTCCTTTATTTTGACTCATTTCAGATGTCAAAATATTTAAAACTTTGTGTCACACAACTTTATATTGAAAAACTATACTTAATCAACAAACAATCAATCTTAAATTAGAGCCTTCTGAAGCTTGATTTAATTTTTATCACTTTTATTAAAATACAACCTGGAGGTTTGTGTTTTTAAAAATTGATCCATTTTCTCTTAATCCAGACAATGAGCCCAGATAAATACATCGTACAATATTGATAAGAAAAGATAAATATGTAAATATAAAATGAAGAAGTACAGAATGAAAGAACCATTGATTTTCTTTCATTTAAAAACCTGGCTTTTTTATCTACAAGTATTCAGTATATAAGTATATAGTTAGCATACTGCTATTTGACATATAAATTCTTCCCCTGCCCCTACCCCATTCTTATCCTTTTAACTATTTACACTATTGCCTCTAATTAGATTTTTGTGTTTTTTTTTAATGTGCAAATGTAAATAATGGCTTAATCTTGTTTAAAGTGTCAGCTGTTAAACATTTTTATTTTTACTGGTAAAGCTTGCTTACAACCTCTGTTTATTTGTTGTCTTGCTCACAGTATAACTCAAAACCATAAATCTCCCTTAAAATTAAATAGCCTTATATCTATAACCAGCGCTGCATTTGTGGCGGCAGCACACATAGGCATATGATTATTCATCACCCTGTAACTCTTAATAGAAGTTAAAACAATGCGTATCTACAGTAAAAACTAATTATTATTGTTTTTGTTAATTTATTAGTTTAGTAAAAAGCAAAAATACACTATAAGAGTAGTAATAAAAACAGGTACTATTATGCAACATATTGACAATTAAGAATGAGTTTTTGTGATAATGTTTGATGCTTCAAGACATTCATACCTGCAGTTGCTTAAAATCTGTACATTCATACCTGCAGTTGCTTAAAATCTTTGTTGTTTATTTTGAGCTAATCATAGGAATAGTTTAACAAAATTCAAATAATTTCAAATTTAATTCTGATAATGTGATCAAACGAAAAAAGTCTGACAAAATTTTTCAAGGAAAGTAAGAAATAAAGTGCCCCTTTTTTGTTGATACCCCTAGGCAGTTGCCAAAGTTTGCCTTATAGTAAATCGGCCTATGTCTATAAAATAGAATGAAAATGTGCTAAAATTAAAATAGAATAAAAAGTCTAACTAATTGGTTTTTTTAAAAACTTTAGTTTTAAAAATAAGTAATGTTCATTTATTTTTGCATAAGAGGAAATTTTGATTTTTTTTCAGCTACCTTCCTTTGATTTATTTTCACGCGTTGGTAAATTGAACATTGAACTTATAAAGATACCAAGCAGAATAAGATTTGAGTGTGAATTTAATATTGATGATGTAACAAACTTTCATATGAATGTTATTACTGAATCTTGTTCAAACCTTGTTGATGGAGACATATACTTTCATATAAATGATGAAAATGCAACAAAAGCATTATTTGTTCCTCTTCATTCAGACGTGTTTAAAGCTGTTAGAAAAAATTGTTATGAGTTTATATTTCCTGTTATCGAAAAAAGACTTCTTAATTGCACAAAAGAAAAACCAAAAGATAACTTGGATAATGAGGAAATTTATGAAAACTGTGTTGTTAGCAAGAATTATGGCGAATCAAAAAATCGAATGTACTATGTTACAGCCATTAGTAAATTGAATACAAGCAGTTTTATAGAGGGAAAAAAAACATTTGTTCAGTATTACTTAGAGAAGTACAACATAGAAATCTCACCAAACAAGCCATTAATAGATGTAATTTCGTGCTCACAACAAATTTCATTCACTAATTGTGAATCAAACACTAATACCAAAAAAAAAAATGTCAACATGGAAAAACTTGTGCCAGAACTGTGTAAAAAGGTTTCTTTATTTCCAGCAGATTTGCACTTTCAGTTGCCTTGTTTGCCAAGAATAATTTATTTTTATGAGTATTATTTCTTAGCTCTAGAATTGAAAGACATGATTGCAGAAAAAATTAAAATAAATAAATCAGAAAATCAGGGAAGGTATCAATCTTCAGTATTGGATTTAGAAAACCTGCTTCAACTGAAAAACTATGTTACAGAAAATGTAAAATCTCCTAGTGTTTTAAAGATTTTTGAAGCTTTAACAACTAGGCAAGCAAGTATGCCATTTGATTTAGAACGTCTTGAAGTCCTCGGGGATTCTTTTCTAAAACAAGCTGTTTCAATTTTTGTATTCTTCCAGAATCCTAGTTTTCATGAGGGTAAACTAACTATAAGGCGTAAAAAGTGCATCAGTAACGAAAACTTGTGTAAAGTTGGAAAGAGTGTTGGTATTCAAAATATAATTTGCAATTCACAGTTTGGTACTAAAAGTTCTAATTCTGAAAATAGAAACCCATGGACAGTGTGGTTACCTCCTGGATATCTTCGTGCTGAACTTGATGATATGAAGCAATACACGTATCAAAATGTCCAACCCAAATCAATAGCAGATTGTGTTGAAGCATTAATTGGTGTTTATTTTGAAGTAGGTGGTGTAAATTTGGCATTATGCTTCATGCAAAACTTTTTAAATATTCCTGTATTACATTCTAGTTTACAAAATGGGCAAAATGTTATGAAACCCAGCCATTACGCTGATTATCCTTGCGTATCAAGATCAGCTTGTATTGCTTTCAATGCTGAACATGACTTGTATGAACACAATATATTACAGAAGTTTGAAGATCATATTTCATACAGGTTTTTAAACAAATCTCATTTGATTCAAGCTTTTACTCATCTTTCATATCTGTCAAACAGTGTAACTGGATGTTACCAACAGTATGAATTTTTAGGTGATGCTATATTAGATTTCTTAATAACTCTTCACATTCAAAGTAATACCCAAAACCTATCTCCTGGTCAGTTGACTTATTTTCGCTCAGCTGTAGTCAACAACAATACATTTGGCCTGTTGGCGATTAAACATTCGTTTTACAAATACATATACTCGTCTTCTAATGAACTGTTTTCAAGATATAATAGCTTTATTGAAATAGTTAAAGATGATCATGGATTAAAAGATGAATATTTTGAGGTATTTTTTAAATATATTTTTTTACAATAAATTAAAAAATAAAATTTTTTTTAAACTTTATTTTTAAAGTTTTTTTTATGTTTTCTGCTTACTTTGTGTTTTTTTTTCTGAAAGAGCCCATTTGTTATTTGCCCAACTGGAAGTGAAGAAGGTTACCAAGCTCCAAAAGTATTAGGGGATTTGTTTGAATCTGTTGCTGGTGCAATTTTTCTTGATAGTGGATTAGATTTAGTTACTGTGTGGAAGATCTACTATCCTCTGTTAAAACCTGTTATTGGTATGAATATTTTACTAGCACTGTTTACGTTTTGCATTTTTTATCAAAAGTTGATTTTGTTTAAAAAATAATTAGATAAGTACATGATCAAATTACCACGGCATCCAGCTGTTGATTTTTTTGAAAAATATCCTAAAGCAAAAATAATGTAAGTCAGTATTGTGTTTTTTTTAAGAATATTTATTAAAATTTAAAGTTGGTTGTATTGTAAACATGGTTACGGTTAAATACTCTTTTTTAGTTTTACAAACGGAGAAGTAGTCACTTGCACTGTCAAATTTGGCAAAGATAACGGTACAGAAATTAAAGCATGTGGTCAGAATAAGAAAATTGCTAAAGCAGCTGCTTGTAAACGTGCTTTAGAGGTCTGATTCTGCAAATTATTTTTGGATAATCGAAAGTTGAATAACACACAACAAAAGCGAGTTTGTTTCTATAAGAATTAAATTTTTTATAAATATTTACAAATCTTTATTTATAACAAAAAAATTTGGATTTTTTTTGGTAAAATCTATTTTAAATTATTGAACTATATACACTCAGCGAAGTTTCCATAGTTCCAAGTTTCCATAGTTTCCACTTACAATTTGTACATATAAATAAATTCACGAAGTATTTGCATTTTTTTTTTTTTTTTTTTGTTTGTTTGTTTATTACAGGAATTATTAGGAATAAATAAAATCTAGTTCTTAGTAGGTAAACCTATTAAAACATCTTCTAAAAGATCTACATAATTTCTTGCATTCATTTTTGTAGTAATAAAACATATTGGAATTTTGCCTTGGAAACAAAATGCAGTCCACACCATAACTGTAATCCTCCGAAGTTACAACTCATAGCTATGCTATGTTTTTTTTTCAAATAACGCCAAAAATACTTAAAACCATCTGGCCCATCTAGGTTAAACTTTTTTTTTGTAGGAAAAAATAACATTTTCCCATTCTACATCCCATGTCATCTGGTCCTTTGCAAACTTAAATCTTGCACTTTTATGTTTTTTTGCTAATGGTGGTTTTGTAATCATTCTTTTCCATTGGAATCGTCCTAATTTTGACAAAGTTTGTTGGACACGTCTTGCAGTCACAGGTAATTCAAGTTCAGTCCTTTTTTATCTTGCTGTTCGTACTCCGGATGACGCCAAACGCAAAATGGAAGAATGTTGCCTTTTGTTTGTTTTTTTATTTCCGCCCTTAAAGAGATTTTTTTTGTAAATTTTACCTAAGTATATAAAATTGTTTACTGCATGATGAGACCTTTTGATTTTCTTTGCAATTTGTCGATTGGACAAACCCATATCTAAGCAACAGTTTTTGCTTTTTCTTATTCATTTAACACCTTTCCGCGTGGCATTGTAATAATTAAATAACAAATCTTAATTAAAAATACACAAAACTTTCATATAAAACAAACCAATTTAAAAATCTTACTTAAACTTCAATTAAATCTTCAAAACAAACTAATGGAACTATGGAAATTTCGTCTGTATATATACCACTTTTAAAAACATGCTAGAAAATTTAGTTTCAATTGTTTTAGAAACACATAAAATTGTCATAAACGCATTTGTTTGCAATAGGTCTAATTATAGGAAAATTTTATGGTTAATTTTATAAATGCATTCCGCATAAAATCTGCAATAACTACATGGAACTATAATTCCATGTAGTTTTTTATATAGATTTTATATAATTTCTATATATAGAAATTTCGCTGGGTGTATATAATTTTAATCAAATGTTTATATATTAAAATATTTAAATTTATTGTAATTATTATCTTTTGTAGTTATAAATTTATAAATTTATTGAATTGTAACTATATATTAGCTCGTTGTATATGTTAAGGTATGGGTTTTTATATGTTATTTGTTAATAGAAACTAATAATTAATGTGAAGTTTTTTATCCATCCCCGACCCTCTACCCTCAAATTTCCAACTTATCCTATTTAGACAAGTGGTAGTTAATGTAGTAAACAAAATTTTTTTTATATTATTAAAATTTTTATGTTATTAAACGTTTTTGTCAATTAAATAAATTGTTTCACATAAAAATTAATTTGGAAAATAAAAACTAGGGTTGTTTACTTTTGCAAAAGTTTTCGATTAAAAAAAAACTTTTCGGAATTCTAATTTTGTTTCGGTAAGTTTGAAACGATTTCTAATTACTTAATTTTGAAATAAGAAAAATAAGTTTTGGCTTATACTTTTTTCTTTTTCTTGTTTATTAAGGTACTCCTAGAAAACTAATATTTTTATCACAGAGATTTAGACCTAAGAAAAGATTTAATAGTTTTCACTTCTTAGACTTAATTTTCTTTTCGCTTTATTTCACTTTAAAAGTATTTTTATATTGTAATTTAAAACTCTGGTAATTGAACATTTTAAGAAGGATAAAAACTCCCACATATCAAAACACCTTTATTTCAATGAAACATGCTTTTCTAAATTTAGTAATGAATGCTTTTCAATTTTACTAGGGTCAACAAAAAAATTTCATATAATCAATTTTTTTTATAACAAAGAATAAGTGTAGAACAATTAAATTAGGAGTGGATCATAAGTTGGCAACTTGCTTCAAAATAATCTTATTTAAATCTGTTTTCAGTTTTTCCTGTAACCGTTGCACATAATCATGTGAATGTGACCTTAAGTTGGTCTCCAGTGCTTCTTGAACTTCTTCCTTTATCTGAAAATCCAAATTTTTGCATAAATTTTAAATAAAGAGAAAGCATGTCGGCCCAACAAGTTAAAGTTGAGGGTTATATGGAGGTTGAATGACACGGGTGACTTTAATCTCAGCAAGAAAGTCTCTGACTGCAGAAGACACATGTGGCCTGGCATTATCGTGATGAAGGAGCATCTTTTCAAGTTACTCCATGTTACTCTTTTCAAGTCTTTGTTGACAAAATTAGAATGTATATTTGATAATAAAATCATGTACACTTCTGAATTGACCGATTGTCCATTTGGAAATACCTCAACATATGCCTTGCCATCAAATGAGATCGCAAATCACCATACTTTTTGCATCAAAAACCCACTTCTCATCAACAACAATAAAACATTGTTTGACATTCAATTCATCTCGTAGGGTGGTCAGAAATTTATGCGCAAGTTTAACCCGATTTTGTTGATTGTCTGAGGTGGCTAGCAAGGTCAACACTCTTGCTGTAAACAAATTATTTAAATATTATTTTTTTAAAAAAATTCTTAATTTACTTTAAATTCTATTGAGCGCAGGATATTTTGTAATTTTAAACTGGTAAGACTAGTACAGGGTGGCCCAAAATTCACTTGAAGATTTAAGCTAAGTCACAACAACTTAAAACCATGCAAACAACATAATAACCACTTACAAGCAAAACACATAGCATTATAACACATCACAAACATAGAAACACTTCATCTATAAAAGATATTTACACACTTACAAAATATAAACCCATACAACCTTAACACATATAAACACATAATAAATAACACAACAATATAATTAAATATATAAATTTAAAAAAATGTATAAATTAGAAACTTTACAAATTCAACCTTATTTTTGTAATATTTGTTTAATGACATACCTCGTAATAAATGTTTAACAACTTTAAATAAACAAACGATCAAACGACCTGGTTTTTTATATTATAAATGCAAACTGATTTTTTTTAACTTCTTTAAAATAAGGTATTAAACGATCTTGTTCTCGAACACGTAAAATAGAGTTGACGGTTTGAGATGCAAGGATTTTGGAGATAAACACTAACTGTAATTTAAAAATTACAGAATAATATATTTTAAATACAATTCAATAAGGACTTGAACTGTATTATTATTTTAATGCATGAATTAAATAAATTACCTGACTTTAAAAGTTACTGTACTAATTTAAAAATAATGTAAGATTTCTTTACTCTTACATAAGGTTACATAAGTTTCTTAACTTTACTTATATAAGATTACATAAGTTTCTTAACTTTACTTATATAAGATTACATAAGTTTCTTAACTTTACTTATATAAGATTACATAACTTTCTATATTCTTACATAAACATAAGGTTTACTTTACTCTTCCTTCTTTACAAAATCCTTTGCTACAGAAGTCATCAAATTAAAAAATTTTCGATCTTATTACTAATTAAGCTGATGAAGAAAAGTTTTCGATCTTATTACTGAATAAGCAGATATCAACAGATTATTAAGATTTAAGAGTCATTGTGTGAGTTCAAAAGTATAAAGAGAAAGAGTATGCTAAATCCTTTTTATAATAAAACTCCGTGTAAACGCGCACGAATGGGTAACGGCAGCGTTAGGTTAAGCAATAATATAAAGTGATGATCTATAATTAAAGATATTTATTTTATTCATCATATATGTACATAAGTTAATGTTAAGAATATCTATAAAAAAAATTTATTGGTAAAAATATTAAAACACAAGTTATTCAAACTTTTTGATAATACTAATAGATGAAGTTGTTAAAATACACCAAAAACAACATTCCTTCTTTAAAATCGATGACGCATCTACCATTTTCGTTCAAAACAAATTGAATCTGTTTATCAGATTACTGAGCAATCCGACTTGTTTTTCTTTGATTTTAACTCAAATATCTAATGTTAATAAAAAAAATTGCTTTATCAACGAAATAATGAAAATTTGCAACCGCCTGGAGCTAAGCTTCATGCAGTGTTTGATTAAGGAGAAAAAAATCATTATCAAACGTCGTAACAACGACGTAGAAAATAATATATAGGAAATTTTAAACAAGTCCTTTGAATTCTGGAACATCAGAGAGCAGAAAATGATACTCAAAAATTTGATGGAAGAAAGCCAAGAAGAATCTAAATTAGAGTTCCAACTTAAAAACTATTAGTTTTATGATCTTTGTACTTTTTACCTGTAATTTGGATGATGAAAAGAATAAATAAATAAAAGAGACTATAAAATTAAGGAAAGTTTGTATTTCTAAACGAGTCAATCATGCCAGAGTAATACTGACGGTCTAAATCATCATTGAACATATATATATATATATATATATATATATATATATATATATATATATATATATATATATATATATATATATATATATATATATATATATATATATATATATATATATATATATATATATATATATCCTTTTTCTTTTCTTTACATTATTTGCTTTTACTATTTTTTTTCTTAAAATTTGTTCAATTTTAATTGCTTTTTAAATTGGTTTTTGAAAAAATATTATTTAAAAAAGAAATTATTTAATTTATTTTATATTCTATTGTGCGCAGGAAATTTTGTAATTTTAAACTGGTAAGAACTAGTACAGGGTGGCCCAAAAGTCACTTGACGATTTATAATATAAATAACTTTTTTTATCTTTTTTCAATTTACATTAATCATTTTATAAACAGAAAATATATTTCTTAAAAATAAGTTTTATCTGATTTTGAAAATATTATTCTTTGAATATCCACCATATCACTCTTTACACTGACGCGCTCTTTCCAGGAAGTGAACCATAATGTTTCTTTGTTTACGTTTTGAATTTCACGAATGTTGGCCTTCAATTGCAGAATAGTAGCCTAATATACTAAAACCACTCACAATATACTAGGCATTTTTGTGGGATACTATCTATTTGAATCATGCCTATAGAAAGAAGTCTGAAGCCCTATAGAAAGAAGTACCCCCAAAGAAAGAAGCCTGGGTTATGTCAGGTTAGCATGACGGCCAGTTGATTTCAGAATTTCCTAAAATTATTCTTCTTATTGGGCACAATTAGCGTATACTAATCGTGCCCAATAATCTGATGGCAGAAATTCCTGCAC